AACATGCATTTTACATTTTCTTTTATAATATTTGTTTAATATTTTTCTTATTTTCCAGCTTTTTTTTTTTTTTTTTTTTTGTTTTTTCACATATATTTGAAAACTCCTGAAAATGTCTCAAAATAGCCTTTCTATAATACCTACTTAATCGGAATTCATTAGGGAAAAAGTGCAATCTTAAAAAATCGGAGAAATTTTGCTGGTACAAAAATAGTTCTCAAAAATAAAATCTTATGTATAATGATATGTCATTAAATCTAATAAAAATGTATTACTCTCATCATTTTTTGTTACGTTTACTATTGCCTAATTTTCTATATTGTTCTAGTATCATGTACCTATACGAACAATATCTCAATTAAATCTAAATGTTTTGGATTCTTCACGAGCCATTATATTTGACGAACGAATAAACGATTAAGCCTATTTCATTTTTATTCTGGACATTCCATAGATATTGAATACCATTATATTGTTTAGATGCAGATGTTTCATGTTGTTCGTTCAGCATACTTCAATTACTCAATATTTGGATATCCGGTAACTGAAACACAGTCGATGGTTTTCACAGTGTTTATGGTTTTTGCGATATTATTATGTTATGACAAATGGAATCGTCGGCGCTATGAAACATGAGCTGATAAATTGAGAGGTCCGCCGGATTACCCGATTATAGGGTCATGTTTGGAAAGCTTTGGTGGTAAGAGAAACAAATCACATTATGTTTGTATTGTATGTAGGTATGCCTAATAACTGTATAAAATGTATTTTATAATTGGTAGATAACTCTGAAAATAACTTTGGTAACTTTGGAGAATTACATAATTATAGTACTTTTAAATTATGGGTTGGTAGTTATTTAATGGTTTTCATGCTGCATCGTTAGCCGGGTGTAGGGGTTCATGAAGTCTCGGGTCTCGCAGTATTGACTCAGCACCTGGCCCGCACACTTTTAATAAATTACTCGGTCGATGATTATTTGATTAATTTTTTACAGAGTTTCAATCAAAATATACGTAAGGTAAGAAACAATCAAAATTATTTAATTATTGATCCTCTACGCTCGGAATATATTGGTCGTATAAAGATGTTTATTTATTTATTGGTCGTTTTTTTTTTTTTTTAACTGAGAAAAACATTTGTGCTAGAAATCTTAATCCGATTTTTAATCTATTCACATCTGTAGATTAACAATGTGGGACATTTTTAGAGAGATAATTTTTGACGATTTTATTATGATTAATGATTATAGTTACAGCAATGAATAGTTAAAAAGTACAGTTTTATGATAATATTAAGAATAAGTAAAACGATTTGACAATGACGATAACAAGGCTAATACATAGTATATAAATGTAGGTTGACCGGTGACCGGTGCATAGTAATTTTGGATAAACATTTTTATTTTTTTTTATTTTGTTGCGTTTTCCTACTTTTCGCTTTCTTGACCCTACGTCCGTCTATTCTAATATAAGTATTTTTACGAGTGGCAATAACTAATTTTACATTCTCTGTTTCACATATTATTTTTACTTCGTTCAAAACATAGTAATAATTACTTAATACTAATTGCGTAGTTTAAAAGAGGGACTATAATTTGCATAAAATAACGACTGGAAATATGTTTTAACTTAACAAATAGGTTAATTTATATGAATTTATAAAATTCAAATTGACTTTGATATTAGGTATAATTACGGCTACAAAACTTCTTAGGGGTTTTCACAAATTAAAAATATAATAATCCATTTATTATCCCGCAAATGATTTAAACCATCTAATAAAACATTTAATAATTATTTAAAAAAATAACATTCGCGAATCGTCATTATTATAGAGAACTTGATAACCTCGAACAGTATATTTACATCGTATACAGATAATTTTTTTAATTTAAATTTAAAATAAACATAAAATATGTATACTTTAAAATATTTGTATGATGTCTTTTAATAAACAATCATACTTTTTACTTGTACATGATTATGTTTAAATTTCTGAATTTTTTTCGGCACTATCGGTTATTTACAGGTCAGTCCGTGGTACCGACACGATTTCTACTGCGGAATGAATATTCTGTTCACGAGTACATTACACACATATACGCACATAAGAAATTTAAATTGGTAATCACGGAAAAAAGAAGGACCTGGATAACCACAAACAATTTATTATAACTTTATATCAATAAAACTTTCACGATTGAATAAAATTCGAACTAATAATAATTAATAAATTACATAGATCTGATATGATTTGATACTACTAATTACGTAGTTAAAAGTACGGTCATACTTCGTACGATGAATGTAGTAGGGAATAAAGGAAATAGAGGAGAAATTAATTTGAATCTATAAACAACTATAAGAATTGCTAACAAAAAAAAAAGGTTCCAAATGGAGTTCGGTTGATATTAATTTAACAACAATTTATATACAACACAAAAAAAACATCAATATACACAATACCGCACACTAGCGCTCATTGGCTGTACTCGGGAAATGCGAAAATTTCCTGCTGAGCACTTATATATAAAAACACAAACCCGATTGATGGATATAGAGTTGCATGAAGTGTCTGGGTGACGCAGTTTTTACTCAGCCTCTAGCCCACACACATATAATAAATTATACGGTCGATGATTATTTGATGCATTTTCTACAAAGCTTTAATAAAAAAAATACATCAGGTAAGGAACAATACAAAAAATTTAATTATTGATTCTCTACGCTCCGAATATATTAGTCTTATAATGATGTTTATTTATTTATTTGTAGAACTTTTTTGTTTTTTTTAACTGAGAACACTATTTGTACTAGAAATCTTTCTCCGATTTTTAATCTATCCACATATGTAGATTATCATCATGGGACATGAGTAAAAAGATAATTTTTGACGTTTTTATTATAAATAATTTATATAGTTATAGCAATGAATAGTTAAATTATACGGTTAATAAGATAATATCATGAATGAGTAAACGGTTTGACAGTGGCAATTGATAATAACAATAACAACGCTAATATATAAATGTATGTTGACCAGTGGCCAGTGCCTAATAATTTTGACAAAAGAAGTTCTCAAAAATAAAGACCTATGTTTAATGTTATTTCATTAAATCTAAACAAAATGTATTACTGTCAGCTTTTTTTTTATGTTTACTATTGCCTAATTTTCAAAATTATTCTAGCATCAAGCACCTATACGACAAATATCTCAATTAAAACTATACTTTATGGTTTATAGCAACTATCTAATACCATTATTTTAGGATGCAGATGTTTCAAGGAATTGGTTCAGTATATTTCAATAACTCAATGTTTGGATATCCAGTGACTGAAACACCGTCGATAGTTTTCGCAGTGTTTATGGTTTTTGCGATATTATTATGTTATGACAAATGGAATCGTCGGCCCTATGAAACATTAGCTAATAAATTGAGAGGTCCGCCGGATTACCCGATTATAGGGTCGTGTTTGGAAAGCTTTGGTGGTAAGGGGAACAAAATTACATTATGTTTGTATTGTATGTAGGTATGCCTAATTACTGTATAAAGTGTATTTTATAATTGGTAGATTTCTACGAAAAGGCAATGAACTTTGGAGAATTATATAATTATAGTACTTTTAAATTATGGGTAGGTAGTTATTTCATTGTTGTCATTCCTAAGCCGGAGGATATTCAAGTAATTGTTTGTTACAATAAATATTAAAAAATTAATTTTAACATTTATCTTGAACATATAATGCATTTATAAGAGGTACATGCTAAATTAATTTTCAAAATCAATTTTTTTCAGATTATTTTAAATAGTTTGCAGGCCTTAGACAAGGGCATAGTGTATAATTTGTTGGCTAAATTTCTGGGCAAGGGCTTGGTAACAGCTCCAGGTACATGTATATTGTTTATTAGTAATGCACACTTAATCTAAATATCCACTTATGGTTTAACTATTTAATAATGTACCAATAAATTCAAATAAGTTTTCTTTAACCGAACCTAACCTGGGTAAACAGGTCTACTAATATTTTTTTTTTTAAATTTTTTTCAAGTTAAAATTAAGGATATATACTATACTAATAAGTTCACCAATTTAAATCTTGGCATTTCTCAAATGCCTAATTAAAATTATTACAGTAGATAAATGGAAAATACATCGACGTTTGATAAATCCTTTGTTTAAGTACGAAAATATAAAAGAAATGTTTTTCCCGATTTTTCAAGAGAAATCAAAACTACTAATTCAGAATCTACAAAAGGAAACGGGTAAAACACGACCGTTTAATATCTTGGACTATGCATCAGATATTACTCTTAATACAGTGTGTCGTAAGTATTAAAATCTCTACTACTATGGATATGTGTGAATGTTAAATACATTTTACCATACTATTATACTTGCAGTGAATACTATTAGTAATATTATTGATGTTTTATTACCTTTCTAGAAACAACAATGGATTACAATCTCGACTCTCAGGCAGATATGGGTTTCAAAAAGAGTGTCACAAAGTAAAACATTTACACATTAACGAACTAAATTACAATTAATATGTTAGGT